TTTGATGTTGTTAATCTCATCAAAATTATTGATTCTTTGCAACATTACCAGAACACATTAATGAAATCTAGACACCCTCTCTCAAAATAAACACTATATAAATCTCACATATATGCTGCATAACTACACTAGTAATTCACTGTAACACATCTGGCCACAATTTCAACTTAACAAATGCCAGTCTAAATGCCAGGAGAGAAACTAATTAATCCAACAAGAAAATGCATTCAGAATATGCTTATCTCAAAATTCTCTATAATAAACCCAAGACCAGATTCATACATAATATCATCATGGAAGCAATAACAGCACAATGTGGTATACAAGCTAACAGTGAGAATAAATGGAGATCTCCTCAGAATGAATTTATTTCAAATCCACCGGTTATTAAAGGCTTTAATAAATAAAAAAAAAAACAAAAAAAAACGTCTATATTTCTGAGATGAGTTATTGTAACTATTTACATTTTTTAAAAATGTTGGTTGAAGTAATCCAGTGATTTGACCTAAAGAGTTGCGAGTTCAATCCCTGGCCACAGCAGAGGTGAACAAGAACTTGGAGAGTTGAGTTACTAAAGGGAAATAACTGAAACTAAAATATCCAGAAAGGGCATGGCATGTGGAACTAGAACAATCTACTTTAGTGGACGAAATAAAGGGTTTGGTTTGAAATTCCGTGTGTCACCTGAAGAAGGCCGGAGCATACAACAGCTGAAACATTGTGAATATGACAATAAAGATGAGAACAGTTCGAACAATGTAAATAGTTGTAAAAAAAACAATTTTGTTTTTCATCCTGACTTGAAGATGCCAGATTAGCAGAAGGTGAAAAGTGTTATCATTAAAAAGCTTAAGCTGCTTATTTGCTCTCATTCAACACCAGCCATTCTGGACCCCCATCTTATTACTAGATTCTTGAGGTGTTGTCAAGAGGGTGTGTCTAGATTTGTGTAATTCCTTACCTTTTTTTTTTTTTTTTTTTTTAAATAAAAATTTAAAAATGAGCTGGGGAAGTTTTGCTCCTGTGCATGTAATTCCTTGAAAAAAAACTGTCATCTTCCCTTGGGATTGATAGCAATTATAAGCTCCTCCAAAGAGGTGTTGCAGCATAATGGTTGTTGACATTGAAAATGGAATCTGTGAAATTACTTTGAATTACAGCTGAGATTATTTATGTTCACTCTGAACTGCTGCTGTTAAGAAAGGCATGAATCTACTTCTCCCTGTGCTGTGTTCCATCACCAGACATTTTGATGAAAACATCTTGTCACTGGCATGTCATGACAATCAGTAGAAATGAAAGTGGGGTGAGTGAGCACTTTGATAACTTTTTCCAGGTAGTAGAAGTAAAAAGCTGATACTCTGATTGTCAACCTTAAGCAACTCCCCTGCCGTCTCCCTCAAATACTTTTGGGTAACCAACATTTGATTAATGTCTTCTAGGGGTGCTACAAACAAACACTGATTTTCATGAGATTACCAACGTTAATCTGATACTGGTCGCCTTTTGTTTTTATACATGGTGTCTTCCCATCAGTGCACAAGCACTTAAAACCTAGCATTACTTAAATTCTGTTAATCTCAAAAAGACATGCAAAAAGTTTTCTTTTGTCTGATAAACATTTTTATACTTTTCAGACATTTTAATAACTCTTTGAATTCCTAAAATATAGAATTAATGGTTAATCACACTTATTTGAATTATCAAGAAAAGGGTTTGACGTGGTGACATTTAACGTCCCTAAATGAGTCAAATCATTTAACGTCATTTAGAAACGTGTTCTGGCACATTCGTAGCATTGTGTTAGCTGCAGTATTTTGTATATGTTCTGGCAATCATTAGAAATTAAATCACCACAACTTTTGCATTTTGAAGAATGTCGAAATTGGGAAAGAGATTCAACTAAGACTAGTGTTTGGATAGATTCGACAAAATTTAAGATTCCTTGCTTCTTTGCCAGAGATATAGTTACAGAAATGATATATCTTGATAAGTAGCAATTCTTTGACCCTTGGGTTGTTGCATATATTTAGGATTATCTTGTTTCATTAACTTGTCTTTTTGTCTCAATTGTTTAAATGAATGTTTTCCAAAATGGTGGATTAGGAGGTTATCAGTTATGAGTTATTTATCTTATAACATTCATTCACACCATATATTGATATGTTTTGGTTGGGGTCTATATTGGCCTTGTTTAATGATTAAATTAAAATGTACAGTGTGTTGAAAACTACATCTTTATATGACACAATGGTAATGTATTTTCATTGTTGGTTTCTTTAGTAGTAGTAGTAGTAGTAGTAGTGATTATGCTGGCTAATTTTCAGATTAAGACACATGCTCAGTTTGCAATAAAAATTTCCTGAATATTTACATTTAGGTGTAAATGTACATGCTTCATTCGAAAATGACTTGATAAATTTGATAAAATCTACTGTTTCAACATGAAAGTTCAGATTCATTCACATTACAACAGCCATTACTGGCATTGTTTGCATACATTTGCTGGGGAATAGCTATGAGTGGAAAAGTCACTTGTCTTGATTATTGTGCATGCAATATAGTTCTCTTGCACAGTAATTGAGACAAGTTAAGATCAGTAAAAAAAAAAGAAAGAAAAAAAGGCTGTTAACTATGTTCTTTCGTACTTAGCTTTCCACAGCAAATGTATGCAAACAATGCCAGTAATTGCTGTTGGGAGCGGCATAAATGAATCCAAACTTTTACTGTTGATAAGTCCAAAACAGTAATTTTTATCACATTTATCAAGTCATTTTTGAATGAAGCATGTACATTTACACCTAAATTTGTAATGCTAACTGAACGTGGGTCCTAGTCTGCATATAAAACATTAGGCCTTGAATGAAACCTTTGGTAAATACAGGGTTTGTTTCAGCTTCAGTTTAAAATTTGCTACCAGAATTTAGGAGACAGTAGATTATAATAAAAAAAAGCATAAACAAAATGACTGAATTTACCAAATGTTTCTTTCAAGGCATAATCACTGCTCACTATAGAAAGCAACAACAAAATACATTACCACAGAGACACACAAATGCTCTAAGGAACCTAATATAACAATATAATAATACAGAAAACTAAGGTGAAAGTTGAAGTTTCAAGAGTTCAACTGTAAAAATCCTGGCACATATGAGTGAAAGAAAGAGTAAGAGTCTAGAAGAAAGGAAGGAAGTTATTTGTATGTGTGCATATGACTCTATCCAGATGTAGTAACTGCCTGCTTAGCAATGTTGGTGAAGGAAGTTATGTTTGTTTTCAACTGTATCAGCAGCCTGCTAAAAAGGGATAAAGAAAAGGGGTACGTTTTCAATATAGCTGGACATTTAGCCATCTCAAGTTGCCAGCTGGTCATGCAATTGTTGCATTTCGTATCTAGTTATCTTACGATGATTACCTCATCAGAAAATGGACAAAATTAATTAATCTGGCTATATACATATCCAGAAATTTGCTTCAAAAAGGCTGCTTTAATTCCCATTGGCTCACAGACTTGTATCTTGGTTATGAAAGCCTTTTTATTGGTTGGTTATGGCCTGGTGATTCTGATTATCCATCTAGTTTTAGAGATGCTAAAATTTGGGTCTTGTCATTATTTTTATTTATTTCTCTGTCACTACAGATTGTATTTAGAGATAAACTGTCCAGCAAGATCAACATAATTAACCCCTTTGGATTTTATATTTGGGACTGATATCAAATCACAAGTCTACTAAGATTATAACTTTGGGCATACAAGATCTGATTAAAAAGTATCTGGACTGTTGCTATGGCAATGAAGATAAAGTATACAGATTGGCTTTGAATTGTCACACATACACACTAAGTTATAATGTTCTCATTTACTTCTTTTGTTTATTGCATTGCTTGGAATGAAGGTGTGGAGAATGTAGTCATCTCATCACACTATAGAGGTTCCATCAGTGACCATGGCTTGTGAAGCAGTTTTTGGAAAAAAACATTCTCCAAGTCTTACAACCACCATATTCCTCAGACTCCTGATGACTTTTTTCTTCAAAATTCAAATCCCATGTGAAAGGAATAAGACTTCAAGATGTTAAGCAAATCCAAGAGAATGTGACGAGGCTATCCTAAAAAAAAAAAAAGGGGGTTTCGGGAATGCTTCCATCAATAGAAATTATGCTGGATAAAGTGTGTGGCTTCAGAATGGGACTACTTCGAAGGAAATTAAATGCTGTATTGATTTGTGTTGCAGTTTTTTTTATAGCACAAGTCCCAATACTTTTCAATCAGACTTTGGTATAGAATACTGTAGATGTCATAACATTGCAAATGCTCCAGGATGTATTTTGAAATGATATTAAATGACTTGGCTGTGCATGAATGGTAATGACTGTCATAAGTGTTGCTAATTATTTCAATATGTTTCATTAAAACAGATTTTATAGACACTTTTATTTTAAAATTATCTCATCAAAACCTATGCCTAATGTACAAGGGGGTTCTGAAAGGTTACCAAGAAAAAAAAATTAGGCAAAATTCGCCCTGCTAAAACTGGAGTGTCAAAAGGACAATTTTTCCCTTGACACTGCTATTATTTTAACTACCTTCACTCCTCACAATGTTTGTTGCTTTACAAAGCATAGATTAGAATTGTATTAAAACCTAAATGTGAAAGTGAATTTATACGTTATTTATTTTTGAGAATTTACAACAAAATTATTAAACACTTCATTTATTAGATTATTTATTTACAAGAACAATTTTATATTTACAATATTCTAAAAACTAATATAATTAAAATTAATGCAATATTTATCATTTAGCAATTTATGAAGTAATTTTTTATTCATTAATTTATAAACATTTACTAAATATGTCAACCAGCTATAAGGAAATCCTTATTACTTAACCATTTTATAAAGTTTGAATCATTGGGCAATGAGCCAATTTGCCAACCATTCCAGTAAATAATATAATAGTGTTTATTATTTTTGTAAATTCCCAAGAAGAAAAAAATGTATAAATTCACTTTCATATACAGTGTAACCCGGATATAAGAGAGTTGTCGGGACCGAAGAAGAAGTCTCTTATATCCGGGTTTCTCTTATATCCGGGTTTGGTCTATTTTATATACATTAACACAGGCTCTAATTTGGGAGCAAAAAAAAATCTCTCTTATATCCGGGTTTCTCTTATATCCGGGTTACACTGTATTTAAGTTTTATAATTCTAATCATTGTATTTTAAAACAACAGACATTGCCAAGGATTGAAGGTGTCTAAAATAAGTGATGATGATGGAAAAACTGTCCTTTTTGACACTGTGTTGTGTGCGTTTTTGTTTGTTTTTGTTTTTGTGGGCACAAAGGTCCAAGTTTGCCTAAAATTTCATGTTTGTTGGTTAGATTTTAGGACGTGGGAAAAGCTGAGAATATTTTAACACCCCTCATATCTAATGTGATTTTTTTTTTTTTTTTTTCTTACCAATTTCTTTTTTTTTTTGTTTGTTTGTTTTTTTTTAATCTAAATTTCTAAAATAGTGATTTTATTATACACATTTTTTGTTTTAACAGTTACCTGATTTTCATTCTCTCCAGCATGACGTTTTGACCATTGTACCTTCCTCAGGTGTGTGTCATATACAATAACCTTTCAAGAAGACCAAAATGAAAATTGTATTTGATTCACTGGTCATATTGTTCTCTGAACTGTTACATGATATCAATCCTTCTATATGCCAGTGAATACAGAAAAATTGCTTCACAAATGAAGAAGAGACCTGAAGTAAGAGAAATGATGTGGTTCTACAGAAGGATGCTGAGAATACCATGGACCGAACATGTGAGCAATGATTAAGTTTTAGAGAAAATGAAAAAAAGTAAATTTAACATCAGGAAGAAATAATTGAAATTTTTAGGGATGTGTAACAAGGAAAGAGTGTTTGGAAAATCTGATACTCACAGGACAGATTGAAGGCAAGAGGGACAGATTAAAACTATGCATAATCTACCCAGCAAACTTAAGTTAATGGATGGCAGAACAGGATTTAGGAGAGATAACAGAAAGACAAAATTTATTAAGTGTTACAAAAGACAGGAAATTGTGGAGAGCCATGATCACCAATGTCATGAAAAGACAGCAAATAAAGAAGGAGGCAACAATGATTGTTCTCATTCCTATATCTGTCATGTGTAGTGTCTTTCCTAATTCTCAAATGTTTCTAGGAATTGACAAATTTTTTTATTTTTTTTTTTTTTAAACTAATGTTCACCTAATAAAAGGCCCAAGGACCACACAAGGTAGAGGGTTACAGCATGGAGTTATATTAGCGTAAGAAAGGACAAGATAACAGGAAAGATAGCTAATTCTAGACTTGAAGAGGTCAAGATTTAATTAACAAATTTAAAAAAAAATACACACCCTCTGGCAAGATACAAAAGGATATTTTCCTTTAAAAAGATTTCCTCGCTATTCAGTCTGGTAAATGATAATAAATATACTGTTTAAAAATAATGACGGGACATCTATTCAAATACTAAAAATAATGTTTAAATGATAAAAATCTGTCAAATTAATAAAAAAAATGCATTCAGAAATTATTCAATCATAAGTGCAATGTTTTCATCATTTTAAACCATTAGAAATTTTCACTAAGAAACATCAGATGTGTAAATATCTTTCACTTTAGAAACATCCATAGTTTTTTTCTCTGGAGAAGAAATATATTTTTATTTAAAAATTTTTTTTTGTATTTTCAAGTGATTAAATTAGAAATTAATCACACAAAGCATTGTGTGCTGATGACACTGTCATCTACGTTAATATTATAGCAAGATTTTTATTTTTTTTTTATTTAAAAAATTTCTTCTCCAAAGTGTGTGTGGGGGGGGATCTAGTTTTCTTCATTTCTAAACTAAATTGGGATGAATGAGATATAAACCATCATAAGCTGGGTCACACTACTAAAAAGATTCAAGGTACTTTTTTCGTTGAAGGTGCTTCAGCCATTTTCACTACAGAAGACGATACATGTAAGTTCATCCCAATGGTTAGAAAAGATTGTCCATGTCTGATTTAAACATTTCATAGACATTATTTTGTCAGATTAAAAAAAAAAGCAGATTAGACTGGAAGTTCACTTCGAATGAGCAATTTTGTAACAAACTATAAAATGCAAATGGTTTGAATATTGTCCAGAAGTATCTTCTTGAACTTGACTGATTAGAGAAATTAGTCTAGAAACAATAAACACAACTGGAAGAAAAGGAAGTGATAAAGTAAATGAGGAAGAATTAAAGAAAATTCAGTCTCTTATTCATGAATTACCCTACGTGGCTACACACCCCATATGAAAAACCTAACAACTACTGATTGATGCTGAATGTGAAAATGCACTAAATGTATAAACAGAAAAAAAAGATCTCTGACTCTTGTTATGTATGAAAGCTGTAAAAAAAAGGTTCAACCCTTTCCTGTAGTGTCCCTATTTCATACCTCTTTGTTTAATCAACCTGTGGCAATGGACTTAAAATCTTGGCACGGTGGTACTTGTTATAGTCTACAATTGCTGACTGTAAAGTGATAAAGTGAGGAAACACCATTACATATACTTTTATTCCAGAGTTCAATCCTGGTAAAATTCATTATTCAACATTTTCATACTTGAATAGTTTTTTTTTTTTTTTAAACAAAAATGTTTTTAATAAGTTCTTAATTTAAATAATTTTCATGTTAATTTTTATATAATATCAAATTACTTTTTTATTTTTTTAAAAATTTTCCTTAATAATTACTTTTAATTAGCCTTTGTTAACTTCATACATGTTTTGACTCTAATGAATGCTTTTAGTCTAATAATTATTTTTGTTTACTCACTATAGGTAAAAATCTAACAAAGAATCCAGTAAGTAAATCACTATTTATATATCTTATTTCTATATCTTAATTTTTCTCTTTTGGAAATGAAAATCATAAACCAACTATCAAAAGAATTTTTTTTTTTTTTTTTTTTTTTTACAAATCTTTAGTCCAAAGCTTATTTCATATACACATCTATTCAAACCTTTCTTGAAGTTTTTGAGTGTTGGTGGTCAAGTTTTCCTATATTTTACATTTTAAAACATCATTAACTGACGGTCATCTACATCTGGGACTTCTTTCTAGGACAAATCCTCATCACTTGATATGCTTAATTTTGAATTGTACATTTGAATATTGTTTCAGTTCTTCTCAAATTCTGCAAGCAGCTTTAAGCCATAGTTTTAAGAAATGAACTTCAAGAATCTCACTGCTTATCTCTGCTATTCTTCTTCTTCTGTGTGACATGTTTTGGGACTTAGGTGAACATGGTTCTCCACGTTTTCCTACCTTTTGTTGCACTAGCTTTAAACCCCATAACATGTTTGTTTGTTACCCATTTGCTCAAACTTGTCCAGTAGGTTACTTTGTTTCCTCCTGCTTCTTTTGCCTTCATTATGACCTGTGAGTGTTAAATTTTCCAGGCCCTCTTTCCTCATTATGTGTCTCATTCTGTCTATGGTATTCTCAGCATTCATCAGTAGAACCACATGTTTGAAACAAAAGGTACATCAAAACAACCTTGATAATATGATAAATATATGAGTTGTGTTGAAAAGTTCACTAAGAAGAGATTTCAAAATGTTCTGATGTTTAGAATTGGGTTGGTCCAAGTAGATGAATTTTTTTTCTCTTGTAGATAATAATGCATGTACATATGTATGTATGTATGATATAGATCAGGAGTCAGCAATCTTTTGGAGAGAGCGGGCCAGAAAGCTATGCCGTGTCTCAGAGGAGGGTCATTATATCAAATGCACTATAATAAATTCTCTACCTCAGACTACTCTGTCCACAAGACTGACTTGCTCTAGAGGTTTAAAGGAGAAACAACAAAATTAATGTTATATTATTTAAGGAGACACTTATTTCTGCCTCATGTTCAATAGCTTCACAGGTAAAATATCTGTCAATGGCATGAGCTAACATCATCCAAGTGGTCATCACCCAACCCTGTTCTTAAACGACTTTTAGTATATTTCGTGTTTGAAAAAGGTTGTTTACAAGCATATGTACTTCCAAATAATGATACCATCATTTTATCATTATTCATTAAGCTTTTATGCTTTCCACTTGGCAAAAAATATTTCTTGTCAGGAGTGAATTTAGAATGAAATTTTGATATAAAATATCTGTCACATTGTAAGTCGATTAACTCCAAATGATGTTTTTCTGCTACTTGCTCCACAAATTAATTATATAATAAGTGTCTAGGTGTCAGGTTAGTGGGCCAGACAAAAATCCTTCATGTGGCCGTGGTGGTGAGGATGTTGCCAACACCTGATATAGATATTGGCATGTCAAGTATTTAAGTTTTTAATTTGTAAGTAATGTTTATAACATTTCGCTGTACTAGAGTTATCTCCCTTGTGTTATGGTAATCGCGGACTGTTTCAATATATTGACAAAGCAGAGAAGTGAAAAACATTGACTACATAAAAGAACACCATACAACAATAGTAATTTTGAAAAAAATGTATTTAAAGATTCTTATTCATATCTAATAATAATGACATAAAAAATATATTGTCACTTTTTTCATTACATGGGTAAACTAATTAATAAGTGTCAGTCTTTAGATGTGTATATAAAATAAGGTTTGCAGTAAAGGACTGTGTTAAAAAAAAAATGAGTGCTCTAATACCTCCAATAATTTGGTATTCCTAAGGTTTAAATGAATTTCCATAAATGAAAAATCTTCCTTCAAGCTTTCATTTTAGCTTTAATTGAAAACTAAAGGATTATATTTTCTAATTCCAGAAAGCCAAAATACAGTGGTGTATTTCAAATAGAAATTAGAATAATAATTTTTAGTTGATTCACTTTTTTTTTTCTTTTTTTCAGAAAAACCAATTGAAATGGCCATCTTAATATAGTTGTAAGCAAAAGTTAATTCTAAGTTTTAAAAATCTTGCAAAAATAAAATATATATTTCTGAAACGTTATTTGCAGAAAGTTAGTAAATTTAAAGTTGATTAAATTAATCTGTTCTGAAACAAATATTGCTTATAGCATAAAATGTTGCATACAAGAATTTATTAACTACATGATCTTGTTATTCTCACGTCTCTATCGATATATTGATGGCCTAAGGTGTTGACAGGTTAAGTATGCTGGACCAGAATTGACATAAATTTACGAATTCTAAGTAAAAATGCTTTGTTTTTGTTTTTTAACTACCAGGTAATTTTTAAAAATTAACAAAATATTTTATTGAATATTTTAGGTGAAAATATAATAAAATTTAAACTACTATAAAAATTTCTTAAATTAATAACATTTCATAAATTATTGAGTTACCTCTATAATGGTATTTTATTAATTATCTCATTATTAAATTAAAATTAAATGATAGATAATGTAATTTATATTATAATATCTGAGTTATTAGCTTTTTAATTCAATAACTGAGATAATATAATAAAATACAATGATTTGAAATTTTATGATATTATTAATTTATATTTTTTAAGATCTTACTTTTTCATTTTATTCTTTATTATTGTCATATCTTGATGGTTATGAAATGTTAAAGGTATTTTATTTATTACATTTTTAAAGTACTTAAATTTTATTACTGCTTAGGTAATTGTACACTTATTTTATTTAAGCATAATCCAATACCTCAAACAATATTATATGAAAAAAAATTCCTACCATGTTATAAGATTTTTCAGAATATTTTGTAGCCCTGAAAAAGACAGTTTTTCTTTTCAGTTGCCTCTTCAACTATCCTCACAAGTTAAATGAAATAATTGCTCACAGCCGGAAATCTGTAAGGGGGACAACTCGTGACCTTTTAACGATACTGTCACATAAGCATTTGGACAAAAAAAAAATGTTTAATTATTTTAAAAATTTTTGGTGTGGAAAAAAAAAAAAAAAATAATGATTTACATTCTCCAAGGAGTCCTGCTTTTATAATGAAAACATTTTGTTTATTTTAAATTCTAGAAAATTTCATGAAATTAAGTAAATGCAGTTTAACAGATGTAAAAAAAAAAAAAAAAAATTTTTTTACTACGATTTCTAAAAATAATAATTTCAAAAATAAATTCATTCATTTGTGAACAAGTCCTAAAAGTTTCATTAAAATCTGACAATTATTTGTTTTTTTGCAAGGCTTTCCAAAATAATGAGTTATTTTACTGGAGAACAGGTGTGAAAATGTCCATTACCAGCTCGGTTCACTCTGTTGATACATAAAAGAAAAACTAGATTTTTAACCCAAATTTCAAATATATTAGAAAAGAGTAAAAAGTTTTTTAAAATTATTAAAAAATACTCTAGTCTTTCCTCTTAATAATAACAAACATTTTGATGATAAAACTTTGTTTTAAAAAAACTTATTTTAAAGTTTGGGTCCTTTTTCATCATGCTATGCTGATTTTTTAGTGAAATCGTGGAGCATGCCTATCCTAATACAAGGAAATGCTGAAAAGTCAACTAAAAAAGGAAGGATTAAAAGTAAAAGATTTGATCAAATTTTGGGAAGTGGGCTTGGCTGAGTGCTTTTCAGCTCTCATAATGATTATGATGATAATATCTGTTTTATTTATAACAATAATAATCAATAACAACCATCAAATCAATAACACTAAAACAACAATAGCAACTAAAAAATTATTAATAAAAAAAATGGAGTTATAGTCTTCTAACTTACTTCAAATGATATTTTTAATGTCTACCCGTATTTGAGTAGATGCTCTGTTTATTTTAAAGTTTTTATTTTGTCTAATGGTTTTGAGTACTTTAGAAAACTTGTAAGAAAATGTGCCCTTGTGCAGCTCTTTGTAGCCGAGCAGTAAAAGCACACAGGTTAGATGGTGGTTCCTCCTGAAAAGGAGGATGCAGGTTCAAACCCTGTGGGAGGGTGCATTTTAAGTTTTCTTGACTACGCAGGCCAGTAGACAAAATAACTACTGTTTAGAATAAATGGAGTGTCTACTCAAACTGTGTCCACTAAAAATAACATTTGAAGTAATAAAAATATGTTGGATTCAAGAATGATATCCATCAAAGTCTTTAGATATAAGCTTTGGAGTTGTGTGAAAACTGTAAATCCATTTTGTTGCAAATTAATATTTTGTAAGAAAAAAAAAATGTCCACTGATTTCCAAGCTTTTTTCCAATTTTTTTTTCTTGATTCCTTTTAAAATTTTTGCTGCTGGAAAATCATGATTTTTGGAAAAGAAAACTACATTTTTTTTTAATTCCTTTTTCTTAAAATGATAAGCATTGCTCAGTAATGGTGGTAAGAAAAGAAAGTGAAACATTGTATAAAATTTTGTCAGTCAGGAAAGAAAAGAAAAAACTGTTGAATTTGTTGAATAAAACTTGTGTGAAATCATTTTCTCTTTTCATATCTTTTATTCCTGTAATAATCTTCATCTGTGATCCCAGCTGCATCAAGAAAAACAATTCACATTTAATATGGTGTAATGGATAAATTGTTGTCTAAATTACACAAAGTCACTGACATCTATTAGATATATTTAGCAGTATCTTGAAATACTAAAGAGTAAATTTATTCAACAAAATCACCATTGGCTTCAACCACGATCTTCAGACAATTTTAGATGATCTCCTCGCCCTCAGTTCATCTTTGGTGTTACAAGGAGTTTTGCTGGTTTCTCACTCAACTGTGCCCCCCACCCATAATCAAGGGAGCTTGCAGTTGGTTGATTGTGTTGGTCTTCCAGCAGCCACCCTCTTGTTGAATCCACAACAAATTCAGGGATTCAAAATGATTTGTGAGTTTTCTGAGCCTCTATACATTCAAACTCCTCAGATTGGTAACCAAACACTCTGAAATGTTCGTATGGGAGCTTCTGGCATGAATGCCAAGCAGTACAGCATGCTGTTTCCAAATTTCTGGCAGAGTTAATTGCTTACATTATATGCACCTCCTTCAGGTGACTGGAATTTCAAACTGAACCCTTTATTTCATCCACTGGGATAGAGTGTTCTAGTTCCATGTGCCATGCCTCTTCCCGATGTCTCAGTTATCTCCCTTCATCTCAACTCTCCAAGTTTTGTTTATCACTGCAAATCTTTGGATCAAGTCACTGGATCCATCCAATGTTTTTATCCACTGTGTCATTGAGGACATCACTGTATGAATTTTTTGGGACTTATAAACTTAATGTTTCAGTAGTCATTTTTTTTTTTTTTTTTACCAGAACTTATATTACAATTTTTGTTGTTGTTATTGCTTTTCTCTAGCATTCCGTATTACTGATTCCCCATATTGTATTAATTTCTATGCTTAGCCAGCTTAGATTTTTGTGGCCTAGCATGTATGCTGCTTCCTTAAGTTTGCATATTTTCCAGTGATGTTCTCTGTCTATTATTTCAACCTCATCCCACAGGGGGACAATGATTTCCCTTTTCTCTCCATGTGTGGTCAGCTATGCCTGATTTTTCTACTCCCCCTTGTGTTATGGCTTCATAATGTTCTTGCAGTTTTATCGGGGTGGGGGGTCTTAGCCCGTTTTTTTCTTTATATAGCTTACCACAGCTGCAGGGGATGGTGTACACATAGTCCTTAATCATGTTCTCCTCTAGTGGGGAGGAGATCTTACTCGAAAAAGGTAACTGCAAAGTTTTGAACAACTTTTGAAGGTTGTCGAGATGTCATATAAACTATAGACCTTTTGTACTTTTTCTGATAATCCCTTCACATAGGTTAAGTTGACCAAAGCTGTTTTCTGAGTGTTGTTATCCTCTTGCACACTCCTATCCCAGTTTGTTGGAGCTGCTCCATGTACCCAGGGTAGTTGTCACATTGTAGGGTACTGCTTATACTGACCATTTCTTGATCATATGTCTCTGGGTCACCACATGACTTTTGCTTGATGTTGTAAGCAGTGGACGATCGCTTTCTTTACACTGTATAGGTGGTGGAAGTTGACATTGAGATATTGTCTGTTGAATGTTGGCTTGCATTATACGGATGTCTTGAACCCATGCTCTGTTCGAGGTATTAGTACATCCAGGAATGCAAGTTTGTTGTCATTTTCTGTCTCCATTGTGAATTGTATCAAGCTGGATCTCTTCCTGGTGTGGCCAGAGTATGAAGGTGTCATCTGCATATCTCAGCCATAGGGTTGGCTTTAATGATGTGGATTCTAATGTCATTTCTTCATAGTATTCCATGTATATGTTTGCCATTGCTGGTGATAATGGAGAGCCCATTGCTAAGCCTTCATCCTGTTGATATATATCTGATCCCATTCTGAAGTGTGTTGCTTGTGTACAGAAAGTCAGCATCTCCATCAGCTTATCTATTGGTATAGTGGTCCATTCTTCTTGGGATGAGTCCGAGGCCAGTCTGTCCCTGACTACCAATAGTGCCTCTTCTGTGGGTACCTTGGTGAACAGACTGACCATGTCCAGGCTCACCATTTGGTTAGATTGAATGGGAGCATCTTTGATTATTTCCACAAAATGGGGAGGGGGTTGGACATATGAAGGTGACTTTCCTATTAATGGGTCAATTATATTCACAAGGAAGCAACTCAAAGGGTGACACACAGAGCCTTGGCAGCTAACACTTGGTCTAAGTGGAATACCATCTTTGAATTTTGGGGAGACCATATATGTAATGTAGCTGTAATGTTGGGATAACTGCCTGTCCTTGTTATTGATTAGGATATGCGACATTTTTCATTCTGTTGTCATTGTTGGATCTTTACTGTAGCTACCATTTCTTATGAGGTCTTCCAGTTTTCCTGTATATTCTGATTTGTCCATTACTACAGTTGCATTGCCTTTGTTAGCTGGTAGTATGATGACATTTTTCATTCCTCTGTAGAGTTCTGATTGCCAGCCTCTCCAGTTTTGTGATGTTTGATTTGGGCAGTATATGTCTCACTTTCCATCTTAGCTCATCTGCCCAAGCCTGAAGGATGTTCAAGGCTGTTTCTTCAATTCAGGCAATGATCTCTAAGTATGGTATCCCTTTTCCTCCATATGAATCATCATGAATATGGCAATAAAGATGAGGACTACTGTCTATCCTGCTATTCAACCCATAGATAGGGGAAGAGAGATGGATTCATATCATTTGTTATGGGTATTTGCACCTAAATGAATCTAACAAACCTGACTGGAATTCAAACTGGTCTCTCCAATTTCTCATTCCATTATACCACACCACACCACACATCCCATGATTAATTGCTGCTAAATAAGGATAAATAATCTTCAATTGTATTTTGATAAACTTTGATTGTTGTCCAGTAAATTTTGGTTAACTGGGCCATCCATTATTGAACCAAATCTTTAAAACCCAGAAACAAAAGATCAAATATACTTGTAATAATTTCTTTTACTTATGCAGTGATGGGAGTGGTCAGTCATTCAGTTTGTTTACAGCAGCCTAACTAAGTGGTTGCTTTTTTAACCTAGGCCAAATCACCCAGGCTGAGACTAAATTTGCCTCCTCCAGCAGTTTACAAAGCACACATTGTCGTTTTGCTTTGGGAATATATCTTTTCCAGATATAGAAAGTAACTCCGGCTTGCAGTCCTCAATTTGTTGTTGCCTGGGACATAGTAGATGAATCCAGCCTGTTTGAATTAGGAGTCCTAAACATTGCTTCTCCAGAAGCACAGAAAAATTTCTATATTATATGTAAGACCCTTCCTTTTTTGTTTCTCTTTACACTCTGCTTTGCTGTGTAGATATATGTGATATATTTTTCTCTGTGTGGGACACATTTAAATATGTATATATAATTTATGTCTCAATGGTATAAAAGTCTCTCAGAGAACAAAGCATGTCTGTCATTCTTTTTCCTTTCAGTCATTCCATTTCATCTGTGAAGTATAGTGTTGTTATGTCACGGATATTATAATGCCCATAATGGGGGAAATAGGAGAATAAACATTTCTACCATAGCCTCCCTCCTGTTATAATATGAAAGTGGATTTATATATTTTCTTTGTTCTTGATAATTACTAACAAATAATATTAAACACTATTTATTAGATTGCTTATTTGCAAGAATCATTTTTACATTCACAAGATTATAAAAACATGCGAACTATAATGAAATATTTATTATTTGCCATTTTATAAAGATTTATTTGATGTTACTTGAGTATGTGATCTATGTGCACGATTCTTCTTAAATCTACCGTAAATAACATTATCTACATGTGCAACTTTACTTAAGTAGGACATAGTGAATGAAGGCTTCCAGTAGATTTTATATATAAACCAGAGAAAATTATATGATCCAATATTCAAAATTTATTTATTGCATTTCTGAATGATGTACCAACTGTTTACAGACAGTGATAGTATTAGTTAAAATAATAATTTTATTTTAGATTTTTATATCATATGGTATTATTTGTCTAGTATATTATTATAGCATACTAGCAGTAGAACCTGGCGTTGCCCAGGGATGTAACAATAAGAGATAGATCAAGTATCGACCATCATAAAGACTGAAAAATAAAATTGACAAAGATTATTGTTTAAGGTTGACGGACATGCATGTCTTAATTAGTTTTTTTTTTTTTTTTTTTTTTACAAATTGGTCAAACTCAAACAAAAACATTGTTTTCAATCGTTATGAGTCTATCGATTGAATAGAATTTTATTATAAACAATTGTCTTATAAATGGAATTTTAAAGAATTCTGAATGTAAAAATAAAAAAAAAAATGCAAGACAATAAGAAACACTATCTGCCAAAAGAAAGTGAATTTTTGTTGAAATGAAAAATGTAGGAAAATCCCAATATAAATGAACACACACACACACAAAACAACCTGGGTTTTATAATGTGTACCCGATATGAGTTGTCCCCTTTCATCCTCGCAACAGCGATGACTCTTAATCGTGTTTTCAAATTGATTTTGTGCATCATTTTTGGGGGGTGGGGTCAGTTATATAGGTTAAACATTTCAGTAGATATTAAGGATTATAATTTATTAAATATTAAAAAAAAGAAGTACTTAAAGGCACCAATGTTTAGAGAACTTAAAATGATTACTTGGTTAGTTATTTTAAAACTTACAATTATTGCTGTATGAGGCAAAAAAAGTCAGTGCATTATTTAAACAAATTAGCCATAAATAATCAACAATGCCTTTTTATAGCCATTTGTCACTTTTTATTAAATTGCATTATTAGAAATATTCCTAGAAATATGATTTAATTTTTTTCTTACTCAGTTTATTAAACAGGTTGTTAATTTTTTTTTTTTTTAAAACGGAAAAATAACTGAGTTGAAAATAATTCACTAAGAAACAACCTGGGGGTGGAGATAGGAGTCAGAAAGAGATTTAGGTCAGCGTCTTGGCGATTTTCGAAAGACAATTGGAAAATAGAATTATAAATAAGAAGAAAGAAAGGGAAAAAAGACATGATATCAAAACGGGCCGCTTGATGGAAGCCAGATATCGGTCAACCCTACTTTTGCATGGA